AGGGGAGGGGAGGGGAGAGAAAAGTTCAAATGAGAGCAACTGTCATTTATACAAATACGAGAACAATTGTAAGCCTGTCATTTTGTTTTAAGTCATGGTTTTAGAAGGATTAAGATAGCAAAAAAATATTAAATAACTAGGAATTACGAAGGCATGGAGGGGTAGAATGGGAAAAAAACTGCAAATCATATAACGAACATACAAAGCTGATGATTGTGGACATGATAATCACTGGTTTTGATTTATCATATCATTATCACAAAAAAAAACCACATCATGATAAATAAAATATTCATGTTTATCAGCAATTTATTGTTATCTTAGAAGTGACTTTATCCTTTAAATGTTGCTGAAATCATAATAGACTTGTTATATCTATGTCTCCGTTGTTGTAATGATGTGATTTCGTTGTGATAATGCTTTGATAAATCAAGATTTCTTATGATGTGATTTTCCCGTGATAATGGTGCGATTTTAATCGAAAACATGTGACGATCACATCCAGAATCATCGACTATGTCTGTTTATCAGGTGATTTTAGTTTCCTTTTCTTATTTTACCTCTGAATGCTTTTGATATTCCTAATCTGTTTATCACATCCGTAATATTTTACTGCCCTTCAATCCTTTTAAAATCATGACTTAAAACAAAGGGGTTGATATCCCCACCCCCTTTAGTCACTTCTCACCCCCTCCCCCTCACATCTTTCCCTCACTCACACTCTCACATTCACCAAATTTTTTAAAATTTTAATTTTAAATTTACACTTTATGTCCCTGTAATTAGTTAATTAATTTATTTTACATCATTTCCTTTTAAATTTTTTATTTTACATCCTTATCAAATTAACACATACAATCTTATATCAGTTAAAACATATTTAAAAATATATTTTTATTTTAACAAGTAACACCATTATAATCGTCTCGTTAATATCTTCAAAATGAGACCAATATTGAATAGTTTTTGACTTAATTATATTATTATAATACTATGAAAAATATTTTTAATATATATAATTTATTTTTTTAATTTTTCGTTTTACACTATTATCACATTGAAAAACATAATTTTATATTAACTAAAATTAGATCTAACAATGAAATTAACYTCTTAGGAAGCATTTTCATACCCTTTATTCATCTTGTTCATCTTACATACTCATTTTTTAATATACTTTTTATTTTAACAAATTGCACCATTAAAATCGTCTCGTCAATCTCTTCGAAATGAACCTAATAATGAATATTATTTGATTTAATTATATTATTATAATCGTATTTTCAATAACGGGGCGGAGATCGGGGGATTTTAACGGGGACGGGGCGGGGATCGGGGACGAATTTGGGGATTTTAACGGGAACGGGGCAGGGATCGGGGACGAATTCGGGGATTTTAACGGGGACGGGGGCGGGGACGGTGATCACCGGCCCGGCCCGATATGTGTATATATATATATTTATTTATTAACATATTGTAATTTTTTCCATATCGTTTTCGGGTTCGGGTTCGGTTATAACCAACGGTGAAAAAGAGAATTTTTACCCTTAATGGGTTCCCCAACGGGGATCGGGGAAACCGCGGGGACCTGATGGGGATCCCTGATAAGATCCCCAACGGGGATCGGGACAGTTACGGGGACTGTTTTAGCTATCGGTTTCGGGGACAGGGATACCAATACCCGGTCCGAACCCGGCCCGTTGTCATTCCTATTAAAAATATTTTTAGATTTTAATAAGTTACATCATCGTAATCGTCTCGTCAATAACTTCAAAATGAATCAAATATTGAACATCGTTTTATTTAATTATGGAGCTGTAATTATATAAATATCATAAGGTATAAAATAAAAATAAAAAAGTAAATAAATATAATAAATTTTTATAAAGATATAAAGTATAAATATTGAAAAAAATTCATATACAAATATATAATTTAAAAAATACATATTTTTAATACTTTATTAATTAATAATAATATAAAGTTAATTAATTTATATAATTATTAAAAAAATATGTATCCTTAATACTCAATTAATAATAATATATAGTTAATTAATATATGTAATTATAGTATAGATAAAAAACCTAGGGGGTATAATAGAAAAGTATTTAAAAAATTGAAGGGTGAAAACTAAAAGCATTAAAAGGTTAAAATTGAAAAATAAAATAAATAAATTTTAATTATTTTATTATATTATATAGGTGGGGGTATAGAAAATGTAGGGGAAAAGAAATAGGAGGGGGTGGGGTTAGAAAACCCCAAAACAAAATAATGACCTTACAAGTGTTTTCGTATTTGCAAAAATCACATGTATTCTCGTTTGAACCTTTATTCCTTATCCCCTTCTATAATATATATATATATATATATATATATATATGTGTGTATATGTATGTGTGTGTGTGTTTTGTATATAGATTATCTAATTATTTATTACATTTAATTAAGATATTTATTCATGATGTTTTTATAGTTTTTGTATTTTTATTCCTTACAACATTTAAAAGAAGTGTGCTTTAGTTTTTCATTTAAAATATTTATTTTTATTGAAGTAGTTCATTTAAGATTTTTTTACAATTTTCGTCAAAAATCATATGTAATATGCAAAATTAATCGACGTTTTTTTCCTTCAAAAAATAATCGTTAATTTTTATCAATGTATCATATGTGATATTAATATAATGGAACAAAATGTAAGTTATCTACAACATTACATGTGATATATGCAAATTACAAATTACGTTTTGAAACACATGTGATCTCATATTTTAAATGTGTTTTGCTACACATTACATATGATTCTGTTTTCATTATTTTTCTTTTTTAATGCTTAATTTGAATTATTGTTTTTTAAGATTTAAATCACATATGATTAGAAAAACGTTTTAAAAAATATATTAATTAATCGTGAATCACATTTGATTTTGATGAAAATTATATTTGTTTAAATAAAAAAAATGAACTCTTTAAATGAAAAGTAAATACGCTGATTTTAAATTCACCGAATATAAAATATTTTTTTAATAAAAAGTTAAATCATATTAAAATGAAAAAATTGTACCAAAATGAAACCAACTTTCACATGATTCATATTTTGGGGAAACAACTTTCAAAATCGTCATTTTGGGGAACCAACTTTCAAAATCGTCATTTTGGGGAACCAGCTTGCATCTGATTCATATTTTGGGGAACCAGCTTGCATCTGATTCTTATTTTGGGGAACCAACTTACAAAATAGTTAAAGAAAAATAACTAAAATTCTTTTTTTATCCAAAAATTAATGCAATAAAATTTATTCTTCATTTCAAATCTCGTTTTTTTAAGATTCAGATATCAAATTGAATATTTTTTTAAAAAAATTCGAAATTACCACAATAAAAATTGTTTTTTACTAGTGCAAAAAAAATCAATTTAATAGAAGAAAGTTAATTGATACAATAAAAAATAAATATTAAATATCATATTCAAGATTTTTATATTTAAACAATCCATCTATATCAAACTTTTTGTTTGATTTGCCAAATTTGACTTAAAATTTAATATTGATACGGATTGGTTAGATATAAAAATCTTAAATGTGAAATAGAATGCTCAAAAACCCGATCAACTCAACCAAATCCAACCCAATGCGAAATAGCTCAACCCGAAACAACCTAATACCTAATCGAGTTGTAAAATTTTCAAACCGTATGTATTGGATTAATATTGAGTTAAACCCAACCCGATAAACCTGATATCCTTTTATTTCTTAGATTTAATATTATTGTTGAATTTATATTAATATATACGTTCGACAATTACATTATCACGTACGCTCTTCATATACACATATTTTCAATCTATTCACATATCTATATAACTCATTCATATATATGTTCAGTAACTGTGAACATATATATGTAGATTGAGAAAATTAACTGAATGTGATATACGTAAAAAATATGGATAAGTTGCATCAAATGGTTGATGATGAAAAAGAAATTATGAGTAAAGAAATAACATATTCAAAGTTAGAAGAATATCTTAATGCACCAAATTACCAACCTGACGAACTCGTACGGTTTGGGTTGGGTTGAGTTAAATTTTTTCAAACCGCAAGCATTAGGTTGAGTTGTTGAAATATCTTTAACCCGATCAATCCAACCCATGAGCATCCATTGTTACAATACCTCAAACATATTATCAAAAATGTGAAATGTTTATAGAAATATTATGTGCATGCTATGTGTTTACAGTCTTTTATAGGTTTTATGGCACAAATACATATGAGTGAAATGTTTGAGCACATAAGCGTCGTATATTGAGATGCCAAATAATATAAGGTGGGGGACCGCAAAACGCACAATATGCTGCATGCATCATTAAGATACCTTTGTACTTGACTCGATTCCTTAAAATGAATACTAGAAATTTTAACGTGATGGTTGAAAATCGTTAAATCTATACGTATAATACATGAAAAATACCACATTTAAAGCAATTAATTACAACATCTGATTATCTAATATATAAGTTGCTGGCTGGATTCTTATTTTCTAAGAAAATATGAAGTCAAAACACATCTAACCAACAACAATCATATAATGTTTGTTGTACCCACAACCACAAATTAAATACTTTGGACTTTAAAATAAAACCTACAACCATACAAGTTTTTAATACAAGAGTACACGGATAACCGTTCTACGCTTTAGACCCCACATTCAGGTGACTATACCAGGTCCGTTTGGTTTGATTTACACGACTTTGTTTAGCTGGGTTATATTTAAGCCCATCAACTCTTATGGTCCAAAAAAGGAAAATTGATCAACTTAATAATAATGACCAACATAACCAGCTATTCATATTCATCAAGACCAATACACTTTGCAAGAATCATATTCATCAAGACCAATACACTTTGCAAGAATCATCTCCATAGATGTATTCCTTGCAGAAACACATAAATACACAGCTACGGGTGTTTTAATACCCATGAGCCAAACAGGTGTATTCACAAATTTAACTGAAAAATAATTTGTACATTATATATAAATAACAATGAATGGTGTGTTGTTGGCAAGGGAGAGTCCGAACATAAATAAGAGAGTAGATGGACAAGACTAAACAGAGACAGAGGCCAATGGGGTGGGTTTGTACTTGGACCAGGGCGACATAGGAATCAGCACATGGGTTTGTGGTGGGTCGAACCCCAATGAGTCGAGATCTGGAAAAGCCCAACTCATGAATGCAATAAACGAGGGACCAAGAAAAGGATAAGACTATCGTCAAACCAAATAAAGTATACATTTGACCCAGTCCACCTGCCAACTCCCAAGGAGGAACCCTAAGATTCCCAACCTTTTAGAGAGGGTATCACCTAGACACATCCCACAGTAACTGGGTCCTTGGGGTTTGTACATGGACCACGTGAAGTCACTGAGTGAGTGAGTGAGTGAGTGAGGTTTGTGGTCTCATATTGGATTGTTGTCATTTAATAATGGGTCATGGCTTCTGGCTCCTAAAAGAGCCCCCCTGGCCCCTGCACATTAGTCTTTGGATTGATCCCAAACCCTCTCCCCTCATAGTATCACATTTGTCAGTGGAGTGGGTACCAGAATACAAACCTCATTGGACAATTAAAACCCAACCTCCCATCCATCATCACTTTACTCATTATATATAAATATGTGTGTGTGTGTATATATATATATATCTCCTACTATCATCCTCTACGTCGTACCATCTTCATTTCTCTAATCTTCATATGGGAAAGAAAGGAAGTGGTTCATGGTTAACAGCAGTCAAGAGGGCTTTCAGGTATCCAACCAAGGATGCTACCAAAATACAAGATGAAAATATAGATCAGGATGATGAAATGAGGGTAACAACATCATCTCATCTGTTCTACACACATATACAGAGTCTCTAATCTTTGTAACTCATATGCTTTTCTTGCAGAAGAGGGAGAAGAGAAGATGGTTGTTTAGAAGATCATCTAATAATACTGTTGTACAACATCAAAGTCAAGTGAAGGATAATGATAATAAAGCATCAACTAATGATGTTCCCCAACAACCTAAACATATCATCGACTTGGCTACCACAGATGAAGAAAAGCATGCCATTTTAATGGCAGCAGCCACCATAAAAGCCGCAGAAGCTGCGGCTACAACCGCCCATGCAGCTGCGGAGATTATTCGCCTCACCACCAGGCCTTCTTCCATTTCTGTCAAGCACCATTTTGCTGCCATTCTCATTCAGACATCTTTCCGTGGCTACCTGGTAATCCTTGCTTCCTTTCCCTACCATACTACTTAAAAAAGCCTTCCTTTTTTTAAATCTATGCCCCCAAAACCACGCGCATCTTTCTACTCTATTGTTTAGCACCCTGCAAACGGTCTGCTACTTTATATAATTTCTCACTCATCCCTACTTGTTTTCAGTTTTTGTAAAAGATAGATATAGAACCATGAAATGTCTAGAATGATTGCAGTTCTTGGATACCAAAGAAGCCAGAGGTAGAAAGTTCCATATGATCCATCCAGTTTAGGTGAACAAAACCTTAATCTACAGTTTAGTAGAACAAAACCTTAATCAAAATGAAGTCATCACTCCTTCACTGTTCCTGGTGATAAGGTTTCTGGTTCTGGGTATATTATTTACTGGCAGTTGAGTAATGAGTGGGTACATGGTGCAGAAACTCAAGTGGCAGGGCACAAGTAATCATAATAAAAAGATTCCATTTTTACTATAAGATAAACAAATAATACTTAATTGCAAACTTACTACTGTTCATAAAAAATAATATCACAGTAACATCGAATTTAAGCCATATCACAAACCATGTGGGTTGGGCACAACAATAAAGGCAACAGTCCTATAACGTTAACAACTACCGAATTTAAATGTTTATTAAAGTATTGTATGTGATTGCACCAACGTTTGGTCCGTGCCTCTAGGAGGCTGCTTTAAGACATTTCCACTGTTGAGAGTTGCGTGAGATCACGTGACAAACATCAAGATTGAGATTTCCTATTCGCTCAGTTTTCTGACCATTTTAAGATGTCACGTGGCAAACATCAACCTTGAAATTTTGTAGTCACCTGTCAAATCCTAGTGGGCCGTCCTTTGTGTATATGTTTTTGTTAGTATACATTAATTTATATTTATATTATCTCATGCCATATCCAACCACAACACCCAAAAAACCAATTTGGTGGACCCTGAACACCAAAAAGAAATTGAACTTTAACCATACTCCGTATATGCCTTTTGGACGGAAACATGACATAAATGCCGTTTCTATTCCATCTCCGGCATTTTGCCAACCGATTGGAGCTTCCAAACTGGCAAAACAGTGTTTTGCCCCGTTGAATATGCCCTCAGAATGCTGTTTATCGCTATTTGTTCTGAATGAGTGTGTGTGTACTTATTTATGATGACATTTTGCTTGGTTGAAAAGGCAAGAAGTGCATTACGAGCACTGAAGGGGATAGTGATGCTTCAAGCAGTTATTCGAGGTCAGAATGTGAGGAAGCAAGCAACCATTACTTTAAAATGCATGCAAGCACTTCTCCGAGTGCAATCTCGCCTACAAGATCAAAGATCCAGGCTCTCACATGATGGTGGTAGAAAGTCTATGATAGCTGAAACTGCAAATTTCTGGGAGTCAAAATACCTTCAGGACATAAGACAGAGGAAGTCCATGGTAAGCAGCTTTCTTTTCAGTCTCACAAGCATGTCCTTTAGATATTTGAGTATGTGACTATGGAATATCTGCCAATCTCATATTACAGTCCAGAGATGGAAGTTGCTTCCCAGATGATTGGAGTGACAGACCACACACTCTTGAAGAGCTTGACGCTATATTGCAGAGCAGAAAGGATCGTGAAACGTCTCTTGCTACTGCCTTCTCCCAACAGGTACAATGGATCCCCAACACTTGTTTCATGGTCAAGGTCTATTCTAATACTAAATACTAACCAAAACCGCATAATCAATCACAGAAACCCAACAGAAATCCGTCTAATATGGATGAGGAGCTTGAAGAAAGTGCTAGTTGGTTAGATCGATGGATAGAAGCAAAGCAATGGGAAAACCAGAGAAGCAGCAGAGCTTCCTTTGATAGAAGGGACTCCATAAAAACTGTTGAAATTGATAATTCACGACCCAATTCTCGTTCAGGTACCAGCATGCACAAACTGCCACACCACACTTCACATTACATCCCCAACTCACCCAGTCGAAGATCAAGCTACAGTCCTTCCAATGGTCAACAACCCATCACCCCATCTCCAATCAAGACAAGACCACTACAGATACGGTCGGCAAGTCCACGCTGTTTAAAAGAGGAGAGAAGCTACGTGAACACAAACATACAAAGCCTACGGTCAACCCCACGTGTCATGGGGAGCATGTGTCGCTATAGCACTTGTGCAAACGATACAGCAATACCCAACTACATGGCTGCAACAGAGTCTGCTAAAGCAAAAACACGGTCACAGAGCACACCTAGGCAGAGACCCTCCACACCAGAGAGGGAACGAGTGGGATCTGCAAAGAAAAGACTAGCATACCCCATCCCAGATCCGTGTGACGATTACAAGGCTCATTATTATGATTATGGCCACAACCTGAGGAGTCCGAGTTTCAAGAGTGTCCAAGTAGGTCATGTTGGTATGGGACAGCAGTGGTATTATGCAGAGAGCACCGCTGGAGAAATTTCCCCCTGTTCTACTACGGATTTAAGAAGGTGGCTAAGGTGAACTAACCTGATGGCCATCAGGGAGAATTGCAGTAATGATAGCTGTTAGCGGCATGTCAACATAACAAAGAGAAAAGTTGCATCTAGTTTAGGGGGTAGTATGATGATCAGAAACAGAGCTAAGGGTTCCCGTTGTAGCCATTTTCATATATCAAGTACTAAATGTATTCTCATCATTGTTTCCAACTACTGTCACACATCGAACACGCTCATGCTATGGTAGGATACAACAACACAGCTCCAACAACACTATAATCAATTATTATGGACGAATATGGTAAGAATTATTGTCAGACCAAATAACACTTGTTAAGTATCATGTATAAGAAAAAGATTTTCAAAGGGAGCAATGAGAAGCCTACAACCAGAAGTCATGGAATCAGCTACAAGAGCATGTTTGGAATAGGCAGAATAAATAGAGGAATCAAACCGATACATGTCCCATTTGTTCATTTTGTTCAGGAGTTCTGATAGCATCTTGTCGTGACATCCGACATCAACTCATCTGAAATGGAGCAAAATTATCATTAATAAGAATTTCCATAACTTTTTTGCACGTCAGTGGAGTCAATGGAGCATAATGTTACATGTCAGTTTCAGCCCAAAGGCAGTTTGTTTCTCTATATGTTATTTTAAGTTTTTTCTTGCTTCATACAAGTTCATTTCTTTGAGGGCTGGACTATCTAGTGATGTCTCGTCTATACAAGTATAACCCTTTTTAGGAGAAAACCCCGAACCTATTAACCTGTTATATGCACATTGAATAAAGAAACCAAAGCCGTTAAGGAAATAGCATAGCTTCTGTAACAACCGTATTACTAGACTCACATATACACATGACTTGGTGATGAAATAATTTTGGTTTTGGGGATGTTCCGATAACATCAAATAAGGAGGGTCCTTTTTGACATTTTGCTAAAGTTGGGTCATAGTAACATCAATATCAGCAGAAACAGTTGCATATGAGCAATTTAGACGCATTCGAATCACGGAATACTGCATACCAAAACCCTAAAGAAAAAAAATCCAAGGAGAATCATGAGGATATGGACTGTAGATCGAGAGTTTTAAGGAGCTCGAAGTTCATGGCCACAGCAGCAATTCCAGGTAGTTTTCTAAGCTTAAGCCTCCATTGATAGCTTATTAGTGCTTAATGATGTGTTTCAAGTCGATTGGTGGGGTTTTACGACAATAATAGGAACCAAGTGTTGGTCATTGGCCTCTAAACCTTGTGAATGACGGAGATTCGGAGACGATGCATCAAAGTTTATAAACTCCCTGTTAGCGCATGATTAGGTCAGAAAGAAACCCCAAGTGCATTATACTGTAATCACAGTGCAATGGCAGCAGTGAACGAGTTGCATCCAGGGTTCGATTCACTAATTTTATCCTCGATTAGCAAGTCGTTTTCGAAAGAGAAGATTAAAAAAACCAACCTCATACCTGGTTATTTGAGCCTGCCCATTCGGTAATGGCTGCTCGTCTCTGATTTGGGTGAAAAAGGGAGAATAGATTGGTGCGATTAGGTGGCTTTTATTATATAACGTAAAATGAAATATAATTGTTTGGTAATTGTCTATAATAAAATTAGAACACTTAATGGTTAAGGGGATTAGGATACAAAATCATTCAGAGGAATTTAGAACCATTAAGAAGCATAATTTTCTTTTTACCAAACAAGACTCACCTCTTAATGATTCATATATTGTCTTTTAATGAAACTATTTAGAGGTAAATAAACAACCCGAAGAAACTCCAGATCCAGACCTGTAAAAATTAAATTGAATCGGGTCTCGGTATGAGGACTGGGTTTTCTTAACGGGTGGGTCAACATCATTGGGCTGCTTGTTGGGCCTTTGACATTTGATGTGTTTGAACGACCAATCCAGTGCTATCCATTTGATTAAGGGTTTGTAGAATCATTCGATTCAATTAAAACCGATAAGTTTAACGTTCAGTTGTAATTAGATTGGATTAGATCCAAATTTCAACATTTAAATTGAATCGGTTGGTTTTTTATAACAATTCAGAATTCAATAAAATCGAATCGATGCAATCCAATAACCATATAATTAATAATTATATATAATTACTAACATTTTAGGAAATTACTTTTTAATTGATATTTACACGTAGTGTTTTTTTATAAATTAATAAAATATATGAATAATTGTTTGAAATGGTGGACTAATTGCTTGAAATTTGTATCAAAATATTGAGTGGATTAAATCAAATCTAATGGATAACCAATAGTAATATCTAATGGATGGAACCGATCCGATAGGGTTGTTATGCCATGTATATATTAGGGGTGTTCGTGGTGCAGTTTGATGTGTTTTAAGACCAAACTGCACTGCATATGCAATTTGTGCCTATCGCCACTTTATACCTACAATTAATAATTATAAGATTAAAACTCCATTATAAAATCAACGGTAACATAATCATAGTCCAAAAAAATTAAAAGTGTCAACTGGTGTCAATTGAAGTTGACTGAAACGATTGAAGTTTGAAATTGTGAGTAAGGCGACAATTATATCTAAACTAGAAGAGTACTCGCGCAATACAACAAGACATATCTCGATTTTAATATTCTATTTTATTATTTGTCTATGTCGATATTATAATACGATTTTATGTGTTTTTAAGAAAACAATAATAATTTTATTTTTTAATAGAATATAAATTTGAAGATATTATAAAATTTTGAAAAAAATATATCAATGTTAATATCAAATCAACTATTTAAAAGTTCTCATTTTTATGTAATTTCTTTAATTTATTTTTTATTATAATTTAATTTAGATTTAATAATGAAATAATTTATTTTTGATTTAATAATATAACATTTATAAAGAAAATAATTAAATATTCTATCAGAACTCAATGATTATCCTAATTATATTTTAGATTTTTTACATTTAAAATGATATGTTTATCCTGTATTTGATTATGTTTATCTGCAGTTAGTTATACGAATTCAGATATGAAGCTTTAATAAGTTGTACTTACGCACAATCTACTTGCAATCTTGAGTTTTAAGTAATATGCATTAATAAACAGTATTTTACGCATAAAAAGGGGTTTTTAAGAGTTTTTGTCAAATGTTTTATAATATAGCATAGATATTGAAATATTTTGAAACTTGAGAGTAAGAGGCCGTTTACCAACTCTTATTGGGTAAATGTTGTCGGGTAAGAATTCTGACTCGAGTAAGGGGTTGTTTGGTAGTTGACGAATGATCTGGTACAGAATGATTAAGTAGTCATAATGATTAAGATGCTCTTGTGATATAATGCAAAATGAAATATAATTGTTAAGAGAAAAATTAGGGCACTGAATGGTTAAGGGAGACCCAAGATACAAAACCGTTCAGAGGGTTTTACAACCATTAAAAGGCAGAACTTTTTTACCAAACAAGATCCACCTCTTAGCGATTCAGAGGCTGCCTCTTAATGAAACTATTAAGAGGAAAAAATACAACCCCTAAGTGTTGTCCCTGGTAAATGTTGTCCAAAGAAACATGTTTACCAAATGTATTTGGTAATTGCTTACCAGCAATGAAACGACCATTGTAACCCATATTGAGAAAATCAGTACTCGAAACACAAAATCAACCAACTCTTTCAAAACCCGAACTTCTCGAATGAAATCCACGAAAAATGTATTTTTTTTCACGACACAATTTTTAGGGTTCCTTTCTTTTACCATACTCAAGATGTACCATCACAGTATTCGACCGATTACCCAATCCCTGATTAGGAATTGAAATTCTTCGAATCATCGACAAAGGAAGCGAAAGTGGTGGTAGCTAGACTCGTTTTGTTTTTCTCTAGTTACTCAACGTTTTTAATGAAACCAGGGTTTACATAGAGGATATGTTCGTGAATCGTGAGGAAGAGTTATCGTAGAAAGGATTGTGGAAGATGTTGTCGTCGGCAGTGGCGAGACTGGCAGTGGTGATGGGGTATGGCAGGGTAGAGTGGGTTGTCCTGGACTGGAATACGAAGGCCATAAAGTTCTACGAAAGAAATGGGGGCGAACGTTATACATGATCGGAGGGTTTGTAGGCTCACAGGTGATGCTCTTCAAGTACTACTTGCACCAAACATCTTGATCTTGTCGATTTTTAGGGTTTTCTGGAGGAGAGTCGATGAGGGAGGAATGAGGAAAGGGCAACAATGAAAAGAATGGATCTGACCCAGTTATAGCATGAATTTGGTGCTGTCTCGGGAAGATCTTGGTTAGATCCGTGATTTGGTAAACAGTCGACTGCTGACGGAGTCAAATTTGTTGATCAAGCAAGTCTGGTCGAAAGCTAGTAAACAACCCCTAATTTAAGACAGAAGACACAAATCATGACCTAATTGTGGATGTTTGCGTAAATCCAAAAATATCTAATGGATTATTTGGCTATAATTTATTAATATTACATGTCAAAATCCAAAATCCAAAATCCAAAATCCAAAACTTTAAACTTAATAAATGAACAATGAATAAAATACATTATACAGAGAGAGAGACATGAGATCAAGTGAGACAAGATTGTTTTCGTAAGACACATGAGACAAATATTTTACATTTGAAATTTTACAGCAAAACGGTGTGAAGGTAACCTTCACAGTGTGAAGGGTCAGCTTTCTTTTACCTTCACAACATTTTGCTGTGAAATTTCAAGTGTAAAAATGTTGTCTCACAAAAACAGTCTGGTCTCACGTAAACCTAACCTTATATATATATATACATATGCATAAATATACATGTTATGTATAATATATATAAAATATGCGATTTGATGCAAATGCAAACCGCATCGAGAAAGTTCTAAACCGCATTTTGTGGTGCAATACAGACGGTTTGACAGTCCCGACGAACACCCCAATGATCTAGTCAACAAAACAAACCATGATTTCGAACTTACCAAAATCAACCATACAATTGCCATTCATTCTACATCATAATTCATTGGCATTATCTTCAATGAACAACCACAAACAAATTGTTAGGTCAAAATGAAACCACAGATTCTCAACTACAATTAAGCCACTGAAACCTTTCCCAATGACCTCAACTAAACCATCCATCCAGGTTCAGGTTCAGGATCATCGAATGAAACTAAGCTCATTGCCATGGGTGCCACCATTCTCGCACGAGCTGCTGGTACTCGTATTGCTACTATGGCCATGAGATGATGGCACAGTCACAGGCCTTTTAACCGAACCACCAATCCCGTGTCCCAATGCTTCAGCCAGCGGTCCCCCAGGCGGTGAACCCATCCAAGAACCCTGGTTCAACCACTGGTTATGTGATTTCACATCTAAACTCCCTCCTCTTTCCGCATCCAACATCCCAACACCTATCTGAAAACTCCGATCATCGTCATCGATCCCACCACTACATTGCATCGATAAAGTAAGTGAGCAGTTGTCTCCTCCACCTCCACTTCTCGACCACGCATCAATGAAGTGCTGCCGCCTTGCACCAGCTGATCCATCGCCACTTACAGTATCTGAATCAAGATTACTGTAGTTGCCCTCAAATTCTTGTGGAATAATATGATTCCTTTTTGAACCGATTCTGGGTGAATTCATTGACTGCTGAAATTGTTGGTTGGATGAAGAAGACACAGGGGTAGTGCCATTCTTCATGAACCATTCACTGCACTCACATAACACCAAAATCATAACAAGAAAACCATTGAACATGTGAAAATAGGCACACTATAGCAAAATTGGTTTTATTGGATGTCCAAATTGTCTAAACATGCTAATAAAATACTTTATCGAACAAAACCAAAAAACGTCCTATCTAAAAGTGTTATATCACATTTTTAGACGTTTTAACAAGTTTTTTAGAACGTTTTTAAAATAAAGTGTTCTAATAACTATTTTATATGACACTATTTGAAAAAGTGTCACATAAAAAGATGGTTTACATGACACTTCTTAAAAGGGTCCTATAAGAGAAACTAGCAAGACACTTTATTTTTAAAGCATCCTAAAAAGATTATTAAAAAGCCTAAGGGTCTGTTTACCAGTAGTTAAAAGAGCTTAATAAGACTCGAAGCTTATTGGGTCAGCTATGTATGACTGTTTGACAGTGACTTAATGATATAGAAAGTTGCTTATTTAGTAAGATTCTAGAAGAGGCTTTGTCCAGAAAACCAAAGTTTTTCCCAACCCTATGCTTTCCTATTAAAAACATGATCATTCCATTTGGGGAAAAGACCCCAAACAAAAACTTTTTTCCGATCTATACAGACAAATTAATCCGTGCAGACAACTTTATTCGTATATAACTTAATGGAAAACCAATCAGACAGCCCCCGAAAAGATATTGTAACGCTTCTAGATAGATCACTCTATAGTTTGGCCCTACATATTTTATAAAGTATTCTATTATTAAGCTTAGACATTCTAAGCCTACTTTAAAGCAAATTTTGTTTTATAGGCACTTGGAGTAGTAAAACTCACCTGGGATGTTGATATGAAGAAGTGGCAGCAGAGAGTATTTCTGTATTACTAATAGTATTTGTATAAACAGGAGCAGCAATATGGAGGGCGTTGGTCGTGGTGGTGGCGGCGGCGGTGGTGGTGTCGGTGTTGTGGGGTTGGATTTCCACAAGCTTTCTTGAACGAGGTCTGCTTTTGTGGGCATGGCGCTCACAGTACTTCTGATCAGGAGCCACATCTCTTGAACATCTCCATTTCTTCCCATCTGTTCTCCTACACCTCCATGGCTCTGGATCTGACCCACTTGAGAACCTCAAGTCAATACCCACTTCTACAAATTGCATCAATTCACCAAAAGCATCATAAGAATGTACAAGAAACGTTTGACAGATTTTTTTAATATTTAGACCATATAATAAGAGAAAAAGGTAGGCTTGCTTTCTTTCAAGAATGATGCCATAAACAAATCCAAATGGATTTAAATATTGTAAAAGAACACAGTAAAATAAAGAAAAAGAAAGTACTGTTGGATTGAGTGGATAAAGGAATTAGGAGTTGAGGCGGAACAGGAACAGAAGCCATAATGTACTTGTAGATCATCGTCTGCCTCTCAAGCTCTTGCCACTGAGTCGCTGTGAAAAGCACTTTCCCACCTGTGTCTGACCCTGTGTTTCACAATACCAAAAAACAAGGTTCTTCCTTAGAAAACAGGAAAAAGAACCCACTTAGTTTTAACCCAAAGAAGGAAGTTGTAAATACACAACCCAATTTTTCAAAAAAGAAACCGAAATCTGACACAAAAAGTATGAAAAGATTTTAAAAACCTGAACAGGGTTCCAAAGAAATCGCAGATGGAATTTGATTATTGATACTGGTTTGGTTACCAAAGACTAATCCGCCATTGATATCTGTAGAAGCTTGATGCTTATGAAGATGGTCATGGTGGAAATATGGAGCAGTAGGCATGAAATTGGTCATCTTGTTAAAATGGTAAGATGATACAGACTGCATGTTCATACCCAACCCAACATCAGACTCCAAGAACGCCGTAGCTGCTTCACCGGAATCGTTATCTCTGGCGACTGCACCGCCTCCGATATTATCATACCCACCACCACTGCTTGTGTCTCCATTCCCCATTTTTCCAAGAAAATAACAAAACCTAGATTTGTTCTATATATTAGCCTAGAAATTAAAAAAGGTTTGGAGTTTTGATGGTTCCCATGCTTCCTACATTCGCCCCCATTAAAGAACAGGGACAAACGATCGGAACAAAAAGCTACCAATCTTGGTCCCCGTGTTCTTTCTCTCTCTAAACTTGCTTTTCTTGTTTCTCTCTCTATAAAATGTGTACCATATCTATCTTGATCTTTTCCTTTAAGATTAAAGATTCAATTATCGAAGCCAACCCTTTTAATTTCAAAGTGTTCATTTGCTTAAAGGCCGTTCCTTTTTCTTTTAAATAGGGAAATAGGGAATAGGGGGTGTGCTCAAACTTGATTATTAAAGAGAAAAGTGTTGACAGCATTCAGTCACCCTCCTTTTCTCTTCAAAGTCCAATTGATGATATAAACAGTCAACGCAAAGAAACAGAGCCACATCTATGATCCTAGGCTACGTATTGGGTTTGACTTTTTATATTCAAATTTGCATGAAACTGGTTCTAGTTGAGATATACATTTGCAATGGGCTGTGACTGTGAGTTTAAGGGGGGTGACAGAAGCTGTCTGTTTAGAGGAAGGTGTTTTCTGACAGGAGGGGTTGTGGCAGGAAGAAGCGATAATAACGTGGCTGTTTCCGTCGGGATACGTCGCTATCGGCGCTGCTGAGCCATTTGCTATTTTTGGGCGTCGGGAGGGAAGGCCCACTGCGGTTTCGTGTGCGTGGGGACCCTAGCCAAAGCCAGCCATTTAATTTACTATTCAGGACTCCATTTTTCTACCCTTTTCAAACTTCAATCCCTATTTATGTGCGGGAAATTTATAAAAATAACCGGTTTACACAACCCTTTGCCACAAAATAACCACATTTTAGAGGTTTTGCCAAAATA